AGGACCGTCCCCGCTCCCCGCAGCTGCCACGGTCTCCATGGCCACTCAGCCCACCCCACAATCGATATTTGCTTTGCCTTCGGCGAGAGCTGGGAGGCCACAATTACTGCACCAGGCAGCTAATTAGCAATTCTTTACTCGTGCGAGAGGAACAGGGATGGGCAGGGGACAGGACTGGAGGCTTCACTTCTCTCACCGGGCACTGGTGTCTGGTTTTCAATGGAAGGAGGAATCAGGGCAGCAACGCCTGCCTGCAGCTTCACACGTTTTCATGCATGTCCTGGAGCACCAGGAGCCACGAGACCAGGATCTGGCTCTGGAACAAGCCCAGGGCTGGGCAGGAAGTGCAGTGGATGCTGCTGGTGCCACAGCTGCCCTTCTGGAAGACCAGGTTGTAATGACCTTCCTTACCCAGAACATGGAGGTGGAGCAGCAGATGCCGGGTAGAACAGCCAGAGCTGGGAGCAGCTACACAGCTGGTGACCAGAGAGCAGTGGGAGATCCCACCTCATCCCTGCAGGACAGGGACCCACACAGCCCTGCCTTGCTCTCAGACCAGCACCACAGCGAAGAGGAGGCAGCTGTTAGAAATCCCAGTGCACTTCCAAGGACCAACAGTGATCCCACCAGGCAGCCCCAGGCTGCTGCAAGACCTGTCAGCTGGGATGGACCCAGAGGCCTGTGAAACACCTGCATGTCTGACCCCCATGTGCTCAACACAAAGACAACATGGGCAAACGGCCAAGAACATGGAGTCATGGGATCCCAGGGCATCCTTATCCCTGAAAGCAGTGGTGTCTTGTCCCTGTGCACCAACATTCCCAGTACCTGATTACTGGGCAGGGGCCTGGGAGCTGCAGCCCTTTTGAGTCCCACAGCTCGTGGAGGTTCTGATGTTCCTGGGAACACTGCTCCCACCCTCCCCACAGGGAGCAGCAGCTCCTACAGCCCCACACCCAGCCCCCCAAGGGCTCCCTGGCACCCAGCACACTCTGGGGGACTCCAGGTCCTCTGCACAGAACACTTCCCAGCAGGTAAGACCCCAAGCCCCTGTAGCAAAGGACCCTGCTCCTCAGGAAGCCCCCCCAGGTGTGCCCAGCACAGCCCAGGGTTTGCAACAAGTGACCTACGAGTCACCTGGACTATGGAGCAGAAATCTCACAGGATCACACTGGAGCTGGAACAGCAGCACATCTAAAGCACAAAACTACAGAGTATGACTTTGTCTGACTGGAGAGTGGGTTATTTCATGGATATTAGCTAGAATACATGGAAAGTTTAGGAACATGAAATTAAAAAAAAAAAGTGTTGGAGTGTGACAAAGGCAGAGCATCAGGGAAGGCCTCACAGCCCTGAGGGTGGGTCCAGGGGCTGGGTCCTTGTCACCCCTGGGCCACCCCCCCCCAGACACTGACAGGGACAAACACTCTGCCAGCCCAGAGGTACATGAGGAGTCAAAGTGATGTAAAATGAGGCAGCTGAAATTACATTAGAAGGAAAAATCAGAAGCAAAATAGGCACAATAAAAAGATAGGAAAATCAGAAGCAAAGAGTACAGAAGAAATTTATTGAAAGCACAAGTACAGACTGGCCAATAACTGCTTTCTACAATCTGAACAGTAAATAATGGAGCTACAGAAAGGTACAAAGGTTGTTATAAAATAGTTTTAATTTCATTTCTTTTTGCATTACAAACATTCTTTGAAAGAGGCAATGGAAGTCTGATGTTGTGTATGCTTACCCTCCCCACCCCACCTTCCACAATACTGAACCTGTAATAGCTGTTATCAAAATATACAATACATCTGTTCACCATAAAAAACTGGGTTTTGCTGCCCCCTCATGTCTTACAACAGGTATAAAAAAATTATAAATATGTACACCCTTTTGTTACTCACATTCTTTACATGCAAACACAGGGATCCAAAGGAAAAACCCGCAATTGCCTGGGTTCGGGGTTACCTCAATTCATTTGCTTGCATTTTGCAAAACACTTGGAGCCTGTGGGTTGGCCAAATCCACGTTCAAGGCCACCAGAGGGTTCCTCTCCAACAAGCCCCTCCTGGGCCCCCCGGGGAGGTGGACTGAACGCATTTAGCAGTTAAACCACAGCGGTTCCACTTGGGTTGCGCAGGGACCCACCGGCACCAACGGCCAGTGGTGCTCCCAGTGTCCCCGTGGGCAGGGGACCAGCCCACGGGCTCTAGGTGGCAGCTACTGGGACACTCAAATCCCTGAGGAGCTGGTGAGGAAGCATGGAGCTCCCCAGAGGCAGGACTATCCAGCTTACCCAGACTGGGAGGAAACAAGAGTCTTTCTTTTCCCTTCTCAGCCACAACCAGAGGCTCTGGCAGCCTGGGATGACCAACCTCATACCAGCAACCCAAGTGAACCCTCACTCAGACTTCACACACTTCTCCAGCATAATTCACATCCTCGAGTTCAGGGAGGAACTACGAAAAGTTAAGACTTTTCCAAACACTCAGTGCTAGACAAGTCAAGAGCTCCCACACTAAGCAAGGAAATCATAACTTGCAACACTAAGACAATTAAAAAACAAACTTTGGTCCACAATTTGCAGAAAAACCCTGAAAAAAAGTAGAAGATTCTTGTTATTTTGCATCCGAACAGGTTGCAGGTTAGAGGGAAATGTAAGGCAACATTGGATTACACAAAATAGAAGGCAGAATGGCCCAGGAAAGAGTTGTAAGCCAGAAAAAACAAAACAAACCAATAAACAGTTTATCATTGGGAAAAAACGATCTGCTGCATTCTACTTTTAATAAATTCCCTTCCTATAACTTAAAAGATCTGGGCTTATACGTTAAAAAGATAAAAACTTTAGCCTGGGTCCTTCAATTCACAAGCTACTTGTGCTTGTTATCTCAAACTCTTTGCTTTAAAAGTCTGCTTTGCTCGTTACCACGTTTATCAACTCGTTACAACACCCACCCTCAGTCATGACCTCAGCCTGGCAACTAAATTCCTGCCCTAGTTTCAATTACAAAAAAAAAAAAAAAAAGAAAGTACAGTATACAAGGGTAATACCACAAAGGAGTAAATTTAGATTACATTTATACCACCTTATCATTCTATAAAAGGTACTTAAACTATTTCTTTTGCATATAAAGAGATTAGAATATTTGGTCAACTGGAAATATTGCTAGGCACAGATGACAGCAACAGCATCAAAAAGTATAATACAAGAATTAAAACAAAAAGCTCAAATGCTGAAGACATGCTATAAGAATGATGGCAGAGCTACACTGGTCTTGTTAATCTCAAATTAGGGGCATGAAGGTGACTCACATGAACACCTTTCTAAATGTGGGATATCCAATAATTCTCCAAATCCTAGCCAAGTATTTAGATATATATATATACACACAATTTTGACAAACTCTTAATGATTCGTCTTCACAAGTGTCCAACAGTGGTTAATTTTGTCTCTTGATCAATGCTCTTGTGAAGGGCAGAGCCCAATGACTTGCAGGGACAATGGAATGTGATGTGGTCTTGGGAACACTTCCCCACCCAGACCTTTCTGCTTAGTCTGAATGTTATGGACAAAAGATCTAAAGTGACTCCCACTTTACAGTCTGCTGACTGGGAGTGGCACAAAGACACATGATACTGCGGAGATTGAGACATTTCATGGACAGTGAGATACAACTGCCTGAAGAGTCAAAGCCCAATATTTTCTTTATCCATTTTGCCAGCTTCACTTGCCCTTCACTACAGGCTGACCCCATGAGCCAGAGCTCACTCCTTCCCCTCAACTCTCCCAATCCACTCCCTGCAGTTCAGATGTTTTCCCCAAAGAAGTGAAAGGTTTAAGGCACAGGACAGCAGATGCACAGTTAAGGTAGGATCAATGCAACTTAATTTTTGTGCTGGGTGAGTTGGGAGCTCCTATACACCATGTATTTTGCAGAATCCTGACTCAAAGGCGCTAAAGTGAACATACACAGTGGTTTTAGGTCTTTCAAGGCATGGATGGGTAAAGAAAATAAAAAAGGCATCAATGTGAAACCTGATAAACTTGTTAGGATCTGCTTTTTTTGGGCGAGAAGGAGCAGGAGGGGAATTTCCCAGAGCAGGTTCCAAAGTGTAAACTTCAACTTGTGATTTTTATTTGAACAGTCAAGATTGTTACCCATCACCGCAAGGTTAGCAATAGGAATTAGATTTAATTTTTTTCTTTTTTAAAAACCGGTAAACTGATTTCTCTTTAAAAAAATAAAATCTCTGGTTTTTTAAGGTCACTTCAGCTGCATTTTTAAAGTGGCTTTTTTTCTGGAATGATGGAAGTTGAAACCCTAGTGTTCAGCCTTCTTAAGGTCAAGGCTGAACCCAAGAGGTTTTAAGTCAAGTCCATTTTGTCTCACACCTTCCAAAGCTTTAAATGGTGGACTTCGAGAAGGACACACGCAGGTGATGATTCTCACCCAGGTCGTGATTATGGAGGTCAACAAGTGATTGAATGGCTTCTTCCACAGAGCCCATCTGGATCAGAGCCATTTTACGGTCCTTCCTGACAAGACAGAACAGGTCACACTCAGCTCAGGAGGAGCTTCCCCCACTTGAAGCAAGTTCTCTGGCACTCAACAAGGCAGCACAAAACCAACTACCCAGGGGATTACATTATATTTGTATATGGAAGAGTACAGCTGCAGGATAAACATGCACATCTGAACTTCTCCCTCAGCTGCCTCAGTCTCCTTCAACTCATATTCACCATGCACTAAGTCCTAGGTTCCTCTGCAATTCCTTATTCCAGAGTCTAATACTGTGCTAGTGAGAAACCTGCTCGCCTTCACTTATCCCAGGCTGGAATTCAATCAGAACTCAGTGCTTCTACCCTTCTCAAACTGAAAAGCCCAATGTAAGAGAAAACACTTACTGGAAGAATTTGAATCCTTTGACCATCCCACCATTGCTTGAAAATAACATCTTAAGGTCTTCTTCACTTATTGAAGGCCTGAAACAAAGTTTTTCCCATCAAATGTATGCCGACAGATTAAATGAGTCTCTAAAAAATAATTCTCAGAGTATTTACTCAGTTCTTTACTAGGAGCTTCCTGGGCTGCAAAGGCAGTGAGAACCACAGGAAGGTGTAGTTCCACACCACAGACCTTCCTGCTGCCAGCAGCAAACTGACCCATTTACTCACACCACCTTTACAGACGGTTTTATACTCAGCCTTTCAGGAACTCCCTCCATACAGATACTTACGGAATATTGGACAGATGAAGAGTGGCAGAAGGCGGAAAGATGTTTTGGAAATTTTTGGAGCCTGGTTTCTTGAAACGATGAAGAGGAGAATTTCCATAGTCCTTAGTCAGACCTTGGTCCTCCTGTCCCTCACGGGGAAGCTGCACTGTCTGATGCTTGGACAAGGTGATCCGGATGGGCTTCCCCAGGAGCTTCTGGCCATTTAAGTGGCTCATGGCTGCAAGGGACAGAACAGGCTCATGCATGGCCCCTCAGGCTGTCCCTGCAAGGTCCCAGATCACCCCAGCCCTTCCTCAGGCAGATCCCACATCCTCCAGGAGCTGCACAACACACACTGACACTCTGCCTTCTTTCATTTTTTTTTTTTCTGTTCTCCCTCTAGATTATATTGCACAAACCTTTCCCAGAGCTGCCCCAAATCCATGCAACATATGCAGGGAATTAAGTGCATGGACACATTCAGATTTTGGGTCTTTTTTTTTGGAAGAGAAGATAGTACTGACATTAATGCTTTAATTACCCATTAGGTTTCTTAATGCTAACAGTCTGATACTTTTAAGCTTGCTTACCAAGCTGGGCCTGGTTTCCATCAGCCATCTGAACTAGGGCATTTTCTTTCTTATTAAATAAAATCTTCACCCTCTGCACATCACCATAGACTCCTTCAAAAAGTGAGGAAACAAGAATAGTTTTAGGCAGGGGAAAAACCACCACAAAGTCTCATTCAACTTAATCTTAGCTAATCAATCCAACAGCAAAAACATTCATTCACAACCAGAACTGATCTCATTCCAACCATGGCTACTTATTCTGCTCTAATTAAGGAAAATTCTTATGTAGCAGAATAATAATGGAACAATACATTAAAGAAAAGACACTGGGTTTCAGCAAAAAAGCAAAAAATCTTACTGCCAGAAGACTGGACAATTTAGCATGCTATCACAATTTAAAACTCTTATAAAAGACATGCAAAGCAATAAACCATGCATAACTGAACATAAAAATAAAGGCAAACTAAATTAAATAGCAAACTAAGTAAACAATGTAAAAATGCAATTACGCATTCAAAAAAAAGGCAAACTGCAAACTGTACATTTTTGAAGTATCAAAAAAAAAGTAAAATCTCAAATAAATGAAAAAACAAGGTAATAAAAAGTGTGAATAATAACATACCGAAAAGAATAAAGAGGCATTGGGGTGTAACTCTCTTTAGAGAACAGCAGAGCAAGGCAGCGGAGGGACAGGGAAGAGGTAAGGAATCGAAGGGGAGAGCGAGGTTGCACAAATCGTCCACAACGAGGAAGGGCAGAGTCCCCGCAGGAAATGGCGAAATTGGTTGATGGATGATGAAGTTTTCAAGATGGTTAATATTGAAGGGCAGGTTGGTTTCCGAAGAGCAGGGTTTGGTTTTTTTTGTGTTTTTTTTTTTTTGGTTTGTGTTTTTGGTTTGTTTGGAAGGGGAATGTTTTTATTGTTTTTGTTTCAAGCAACAACAGGAAGCAGAAGTACCGTGCAGTCAGTTGGCAAAGAAATTCCGGATCAGGGGAAGAAAAAAAATTCAGGGATGGGGAGAAAAGAAAAAAGTAGCAAAAAACACAGGTCAGTAAATACATAAGGAATATGTAGTGTTCCATCAGTCAGATTTATAGAATTCTACATACAATAACTTGTTCACAGAAATAGTTAATAGGTTTTACCTAGTGGAACACAATGATAAAGAAAAGGCATTTTTACTTAAGATATACAAAGAAGTAAGAGACAGTATCACAACAGAGTGACTGCTACAGGCTTTAACTCTGAATTCAATTGCAATGGAATTCCCTAAAATGTTACTAAAAATATTTTATCTGATTACAAGAATTTCTTAGAAGAAATGACTCTGTGGATTAGGTCAAACAGCTGTATTTGCTGCTAAAGGATCGGTGACTAGAGGGAAAAACCCATGCTGCAATACTCAGCTGTCCCAAACCAAGGGAAGTCCAATTTAGGCATCAATCACTGCCTTGGGTGCAAAATACTATCCAGATGAGCAACTGCACCATGGAGAAAAAAACCCAAGTTGTGCTAGAAGGGTTATGAAGGGACTTGGTCTTCTACTGGTAACTGAGTCAGTTCCCTTCCCTCCCTGTGGCTTGACTCCACAGAGACCCCCAGACTGACACTCCACATCCAGAGGAAGGAAAAGCAACTCTGCTGCCCTGGCAGACAGTCTGCAGTGGAAGTGACAGCCACTCTGACTTCTTCCACTCCTCATAGAAAGGAAGAATGGAGCAATTTCAGTTTCCATGATTCTGATTGAGGAAAATAAACCTTACCCATTATGGCAGAGTAGTCACTCCAGAGAAATACTGTCTCTTAACTAACTGGTTGTGGCACAGGTAAGTTTCTACAACACTGATTATACAGGCAATGGAAAAAGTTTCAGGTCTGTTAGTTCACAGCTTCAGTACAAGTATCAAAGTCTCTCTAGCCCAAAGATAAGCTGGATGGATAGTGAAGAGCTCATAAAAAAATACAAGGCATGAAATAACTGCTTGCTCCTACTAAGCAAGAGCTGTGCACACCCTCCAGACACTGCTCAGAGCTGTGAACACGTGCAGATTAAGCAGGGGTGCTGCACAGCCCTCAGTCACTGCCATCCAGACAAGGCAAAAATCATCTCCAGAAACACACTTGACAGTATTACACTGGTTGATAGTAACAATGCCAGCTCTTAATGTCTAGATCTTTTGTTTGAACAGCAAGTCATTGAGACCAGGCCAGAGATGACAGTCCCTGGAATGGCAGAGGAGTTCCAAGGTAGGAAGAGCAAAACTGTGTCAGACCCTGCCATTATTTCATGCCCTGGAGAAAACAGTAATGAGAGATAAAGAGTAATTCAAACTACTGATTCAAGTGGTTCATCTCATCAAGAGTTAAATGTTTTTATCATTTATCACATCCAGGCTTCCCCTTTGATGCAAAAGAGGTTTTGTGGTTACTCTGACACCACTGGTAAGTTTCACAGCTTTGCAAAGTAGTATTAATTAACTCGGGTGCACAGTCCCACCAGTTAAAGTTTTTTTCAGCAGAGACTCATTATACTCTACTGCACACATTGTAAGATTCTACACTTTCAATCCAACAAAGAGCCAAAAGCTGACTGAAGAAAAATCCAAGATACCTATATCAAATTCTCTTATGATGCTGTCTTTCATTAAAGACAACTTCTGTTCAAACATTACTTGCTTTATTTTTAAAGAAACCCAAATATTCCAACTCACTGAGTTAAGTAGAATTGAAAATGTAAACTGTGAGCTGTTATGGGGTTTAGCTAAGGAAAAACTTCCAGGAATCTTGGAAAGGGAAAATGTGCAAGCACATGGCAGAGGAAATACTGCACAGGTACAAGGTCAAGCTGGCAGGGGTTCAGACACTACACAGAAAGAGCACAGGTCAGAACAAACTCTCTCTGTAGTTCTGAATTAATGTATTAAAAACTACAACATGCCAAGGAAAAGAAAGAATGGACATGACTATTCTGTGACTCAAATGACTCTATTCCATGGGGATGGCAGGGAGACTCCAAATAAGAGGGAGGAAGGGACAGGCATTGTAGTCTTTATGGGACAAGAGCAGGCAGGCAGCATCCTTGGCTTTGAACCAAAGAAGAGCAAGATTTAAATTTGAGATGGACTTTTTCATTTCCCTTCAGGAACTAGAGTACTGATCTGCTGTGAGTTTAGAGCTGGCAGAGCATGTCACCTGCTCTTCTAGCTTTGCCGTTTCCTTTAGGATACAGTCAGATTTCACTTTCAATGAGTTTCAGCACAATCTGTGTTCAGAAAGTGAAAGCAGAGGTAACAGAAGGAGAATAAAGTAAAGTTTGGACTCCACTAACCTCAGAGTTCAGATTGCTAACCAGCAGAACAGCGTTCCCTGCCCCAGTGAGGCCGGGAATGGCAATCCGTCCTGCTGCAGCCGCTGCAGCTGCTGGGATAGCCAAAGGAGCTAGTGCTCCATGAACATTTGGAACTGACAGGCCTAGAAATTAAAGAATATTAACCAGTAAAGAAATTAACAGCACGTACTCTAGTGAAAATGCTGCACCAGAAGGGAGAGCAGCAGGCCTTGGTAACATGCACATCATTCCCAACAGTGACCATGTCTGCTAAGAGCAACGGGAGCCTCCAGTTCTGGTGCTGCAGGAAACGTTGCCATTTTAACAGTATTTGCTCTTGCAGTGCCTGGTGCTTAACAGGTGCCTCACAGCACTATCTTTTTGACTACAATATTTTGCATGTTTCACAGGAAGCGGAATCAGCACAAAGCCCCAGCTCTGGTGGTGCAGGAAAGGTGTCACAAACAGTGCATTTTAAGGGTCTTTCCAACCAGTGCATGCCCAAAATGCTGTGTTCTCAAACATGCATGACAGTCAGTACTGGATGCTAGCACCAGCTACATCTCTTCTTGAGCAGACAACAAAGTTTCGTTCCTTGGCATTTCTAGGTTGCCCACAGTAACAGCTGGCATCTCACTTTATTAGCCCTCCAAAGCTTTAAGGTTTAGGAAACAATTCCTAGTAATCAATTGAACTAAATTCCTTCTCCCAGTGGCACTGCCAACTTCTCAGACAGGTCAGTAACAAAACATTAATGGTTCAACAGTTTGATCTGTGCTTGTTTGTCATAAGCAAGGAAATTCCACCAAGTTACAAGAAAGTCAACACAGCTTGGTAGACAATGAAAAACCAAGCAGAAATTGTTTAGTCTGGCACTCCAGGGAGTGTGTTCAGTACCTAAACTCTCAGCTTTCATCTCAGACACTTGGCTGCTTCTGTAAGCAGCAGCAGTTGTTACCTGCAATGAGTGGTAAACTTCACTCTGTAACTCAAACAATCTGTGTAATTAGGTGCATGTGTAAGTATCAGCTGTACTCAAACATTTTGGAAAAATGGACTAAGATTCCTTGCTTTTGACCACATTTGCAGCTGTCAAAGTGAGTTCCCAACCTCTGCAACCACATGAAGAAATTCAAAATACAAAAAAATGAATGTCCTCCCCCATCTCCCCCAGTTATTTTAAATATTGCCTTTACTGCCTCTCCCACCCTGCTACTCCTGTTTTCTTCCTGTCACTGGGACATTTCCTGGCCAGAGCTGCTCCAGCTGCATGCTCCCATTCCTAGCTGACATTATGTAGTGAACCACCCCTCCCTTCTCTGCCCAAATACCAGCATTTAGAATCTACACAACTAACCCCAACAAAAGGATCACTACTTAGCTTTAGAACATCAAGATTCTTCAGCAACAGAAAACCTATATAAAATCTCAACTTACGAAATACAGTACCTGCAGCCTGAGGAATTGCAAAGGTAGGAGGGAAGCCAGCTCCAGCATATGGAGAAGCAGAGATTATCCCAGGGGCACCTGGAGAAGACATACTTTATACATATACACCCAAAAGCAAAAAATCCTCAAGACTTAACTGGAATGTCTTGATTTGTGCTTCAACATAAGCATTTTGTTGAAAGCTAAACCCTAAAACATAGATAACTCAAAAATGCTTCTAACATAATGCTGAACTTCAAGAAATCACAAAAACTTATCCTCCTCTAACTGCTGTTCTGAAATCTCCAGGAGAGCACAGCTCCTGATCAGACCACAGACCAGTAGCAGATCCTGTAACTATTTTACCACAGCAGTTTTCCAGGTACCACTTCCAACCCCTAGATGATCCCACAGACTACCTGAGGGCAAAACAGCAGATGGCACTAGAAGCCCAGAGCTGGGAACGTGCAGCAGCCCTCACCCCAGGGGCAAGGAGCTCCCACAGCAGCAGGCCTACTGATATTTTGATCTAGTCTGGTTTATCAGTTCCTAATTTTCCTCATTATTCACACCGTATTCAAAAATTGTGTCCAACCAAATACACTCAGATTATGTCCCCTGCCCAGCTGACAGACACAGCAGTTATTTGTCCTGCTCCCACTGAAAGAATTCTCACCAAAAGCAGCTGCCATAGTCTGATCCAGAGAGGGCTGATTATCCCCAGAAGGTAGGTCTGGCCGGGTATAATCTCTGCTCTTATCATTGTTGTATTTTACATTGAGACTTGTGAGCTTTGAGAAGTCGATGCGCAGCGTGCAGCAGGCGTTGTAGATGTTCTGTCCATCCAGAGACTGCAAGGGAACAAACCATCCTCATCCCAGCTGCATCTGCACAGAGCAAGCCTCTGGAGACAAGAGGTGCCACACCATCCCAGGCACCAGCACCTCTGGGATGCAGCAGGGACCACAGCTTCCTTTCACCCCCCTCAGCACTGCCCACACCAGCCATGCTGCTCCAGCTTGGGAATTCCCTCCCTCTGCAGGTGGGATCTGCTCCAGGGCAGTGCCTGCCTGAGCCAAATGTGACCACCAAAGACTCCAGCACACGAGTTGCTATTTAACACCAACGCTAGATCAAAAAAGCAAGCCTACAAGTTAAAATACCTGAGGTGTTTAGCACTGCCAGCATCCTACTCACCAGCTTGGCGTGCTGAGCACTCAGAGGGTCAGCGTATTGTAACAGGGCCTGAAACTGGTTGTTCTTTGTGAACGTGATGATTTTCAGAACAGTACCAAATTTGGAAAAAATCTGCAAGATAATATTTGCATGTCTTGTTATCTCATTTCCAGTAAGTTAATTTCACACTGATCTCCATCATTAGAAGCAGAAACAACAATTGTTATCCTTTCACCTTTCTAGCTTTCCAGCTTTAGAACTTGTCCTGCTCCACAGTGGACATTGTTCAACTTGCATCATGGCACCAGACCAGAAAAACACCAGGAGGACTGAACTGCCTCCTTAATCAAGTCTTGTTTCTTACAAATTCTTACACAGGAAGATTCACATACGCATTCAAGAACTGGAACTTTTCCAAGAATTTCAGGGATTCGTAAATGCAGTCAAGCTTGTATTTTAAACATGAAGATTAAGTTAAATAACCACAGCAGATAGCAGGAACTTTCCCAACCAACTGCTGCCTAAATGCCACCTGGACACTGTTTCCTCCTACCCTTGCACAAGGACATGTAACAGCTACTTCTGCTAAACCCTTATCAGAACTTGAAAAGCTGTCTTGAAAAACTAAATATTTTGTTCCTTGCACTGTATTAGACTGTAATCCAATTTAAATGGATCAGTAATCAAATATCTGGAAATTAAAACTCCAGCCAGACTGGTACCAAAAATAGAAGAATCAAGTAGGTTTCAGGGCCTCCAGAAAGTAGAACTTAGCTGTGTTCAGAACTTGCATTGCAGAGAAAAAAATACACATGGTCAGAATAGACACAGCAATTCACTCTTTACTGCTACCCCTTCCTCCAGGACCACCTGCAAGAAGTTGTGGTGACGTGTTTTACCTGGTGCAGAACAGTATTTTAAACATGAAGATTAAGTTAAATAACCACAGCAGATAGCAGGAACTTTCCCAACCAACTGCTGCCTAAATGCCACCTGGACACTGTTTCCTCCTACCCTTGCACAAGGACATGTAACAGCTACTTCTGCTAAACCCTTATCAGAACTTGAAAAGCTGTCTTGAAAAACTAAATATTTTGTTCCTTGCACTGTATTAGACTGTAATCCAATTTAAATGGATCAGTAATCAAATATCTGGAAATTAAAACTCCAGCCAGACTGGTACCAAAAATAGAAGAATCAAGTAGGTTTCAGGGCCTCCAGAAAGTAGAACTTAGCTGTGTTCAGAACTTGCATTGCAGAGAAAAAAATACACATGGTCAGAATAGACACACCGCAGACACAGCAATTCACTCTTTACTGCTACCCCTTCCTCCAGGACCACCTGCAAGAAGTTGTGGTGACGTGTTTTACCTGGTGCAGAACATCTAGAGTGACAGGATAGAAGAGATTCTCAACAATGATCCTCAGGACAGGGCTCTGTCCAGCCATGGCCATTCCTGCATCCACAGCTGCAGCGGAGGCATTCTGAACAGAGGTCACTGCCTGCAGAGCAGCCTGGGCACGCTGAGGAACCAAACACATTGTTAGCTCCTCCATTCTGCTTGCAAAAACACACATTCAGCTTTTCTTGAGCTTTCTATCTGCAAACTACTAGCAGAACTCAACAGTTAGCAGAAGAGAAAGCAATTTGGTGTTCCTAAGGCTGGGGATGCAATGACTTCAGCACATTTTCAACATGGACAATCCAGACCACTCCTGTCAGTAAGAATAATGCAAAAATACAAACTAAATAAAATATGAAGTACCTATGCTACTGCTAGAACCTTGCTCAGTATCTACTAATGCAACAAAATTATTCCATTGCATACAAAAAAAAGGAAAAACCATGCTCTTCTGAGGTAAAACACCATCTCCAGAATACTACAGAAGTTGACGAGACTGAGATTAATGCACGTCTGCTACTGGGACCCAGGAGTGAAAACAGACTTGGAGTTTTCCTGCAGGGTCCCCCTCATGGATAGAACACTGGTGTGCTCACTACTGTGCACCGGATTCTGGCTCTGTTAGATGCACCAAAATGCAGCATTTCACCTGCACAGCATCAGGTGCTCTGATCCTGGTGAAAGTCAGCCTGAAAAGTGAGAGGAGGCAAACTGGATGTACTCTGCAGCCATGCCTGATAAGGAGGGACATGTAACTTGAACTTCTTTCCAGTGTTCCTGTCCTGAAAGATTGCCAAGAGCAGCTGAGCCAAAAAAGGAACTTTTTACCCTATGCAGGGTATATCTTGCATAGCAAGTCTGGACAGCCCTAAGTCTTGTGAACTGCTGTGCTCAGTGCTGCCTGCCTCAGGGACAGCACTTGCCAGTAACAGACTCTACTCTGCTGCAGACACAAGTCTTGCCTCAGAGCTTCATTTTATCTTTCAAATGCTAGAAACAAAACATCCTAAAGCACAAGGAGTTACCCAAGTCTTCAAACAGGTACACAGTTACAGTTTCTAACTAAGAACACTATCTCCTCATGAGCTCACATTCACTATGCATTTTCTACTCCTGGCATGAAGGCAGTTTTAGCAGCTCATTTACCAGTCTGAGACTTTGGATAAAAGCCATTATAGAAGACTTTATTCCAGAAGCTAGAAGCCTCTGTTTAGCACTTTGATAGTTAAACTAGACCTCAGAATCCCCCCCTGGCTGCACAAATCACAGCAGTAGCAGAGAACTGTCCATCCCTCCCACCAGTATGACAATATAAAGAATAAAGACTAACTGCTTGGTTTGGAGAGTTGTCTGTCTTAAGCTCCTTGTGGTTGGAGAACTGTATGTAGATGGGCTGGCTCCTCAGGACTGGAGTGACTGTGGTGTAGTAGTTGACCATGGTGTTGGCTGCCTCCTCCGTGTTCATCTCTATGAAAGCCTGCACAGAATCAAACCCAACACCAACATTTACCAAAGCAGCTCACACTAGGAGACAGCATCAACACCAAGCAGCACTGTGTGACTGATAACCTCAGGAAGAGCTTCCAGTTGAGTTGTAACTGCATTTGACTTCCACAAGTGCTTTTACATGTAAGTTCTTGCTCACAGAATTAAAAACAAACTGTATGTAGAACAAATCAGGATCTTCACTGTCCAGACTGACTTAACCCATGTAGTGTTTCAATCTCACCCTAAGATCTCCACATTACAGCTATTTAGGAAACTGGCAGTGACAGAAGCATCTGCAAGAACACAAGAATACAGCAATAATCCAGCCTTTTTACACAGTAAACCCACTCAGTTCTGAACCTTTATGATCTTCTCTATTTCAAAACAAAAAAAATTGTAGCAAGTCATCACATTAAGTACTTGCATATAATCACACCACGCAATGCATCAGAGGCACATTTTCATATTAAGATTAAAGGCACAGTATTTTAAGTGTTGATTAAAGTTGGCTTGCTTTTTTCACTCCTTAATTTGTAGGACAATTTTAGTTACTGAATTAGTGCACACCTTCTCCATTACCCAAGAGTGTTTCAGCTTTACCCAGCTAATTTATTGTATCTGTAAAGGTGTCCTTAATGTGCCAAGTTACCCTGGTGGTTACTCAACAGCCAGGCCAGCTTGAGTGAAGAAGGCCAACTCATGTCACTGCTGTCCAAATAATTTACCCAGCCTGTAATTTAAAAACCAGGCATAATGCTAATTATAAGTGACAACCTGTAATTATGGACTTTGCTCCTCGTAGAGCCTGAAAATAGTATTTTCTACAGCTCATGGGATAATCATGGAAAAATAAAGTAATAGCATGGAGAGCTTATTGACTCCTCATACATGAGAGTTGTTTGAACAACATGGATCTCATTTACTGATGACAAACTCATCAAGCCTTTGACATAATCCCTGCTTTCAATTACGGAAACAATACCTGGTTTTTTCCTTTCAACATTAGGAGATTGGTGACCTTGCCAAAAGGTAGGCCCAAAGAAATGACCTCTGCCTCCGTGACGTCGCTGGGGAGCTTCCGCACGTGGATCACTCGGGAGGGGACCCCAGCGCTTCTACTGTCGCCTTTGAACTTTTTGCTGTCGTTTCCATTAGCTGGAGAAAGCAAGAGCTCCTGTTTATTAGAGCTTGAAAAAAATATGCACACACAACTTTTGACTAGAGTTCATACCCCCCATCCAGTTATTACTCTTTGACAGAGAAATTCCATATTCTAATTTAACCAGTCTAAAGACATGTTTTTACTAATTTATTTCTTTTTCAAATTACACGATGCGGTGACGGTAGCTGGATGCCACTGCAATGGGATCAACTCTCCAGGGGCCATTTCACAGCTTGTTTACAGTACACACCCACCCAGGGCTCTGCTTTGTGTGGGTCTGAGCCACTAATTCTAGCTTGGTGCCTCCCTCCTTTTCACTTGGACTGGCATTCTTGGCAATTAGGCACTTTGAAGGGGACATCCTAAAGCAAGGGATATTAAAACAAGTATGAACCCAAGCATAACAGATCAGCTGCATGACACCTGCAGCAAAGCAGCTCAACAAAGACATGAGCTGAGAGGGCACAGACAGAATACAAGCTGACTCAAAGGACAGCTCAAAGTAAGACAATTCAAGGCTCTGACAAGCACCAAGGGCAAAATTCTGGACTGAGCCCCCAAGGATACTGTCTTGGGTGGGATTACCAACCTCTAGATGGTGAGAGACTCCCACACAGCAGCAAACTACCACATATAGCCAAAATAACCCCACATTAAATTAAATGTGCTTTAAGTATGACAGTTCACAGCAAGACCTGCATGTTCTAACCTTGTGAAATAATTGTAACAACTGCCCTGCAACAATTTTATTCAGTCTACAATCCTTCTAAGGGCAAAGGGCAGATGTTTATAAGCATTTAGTATATCCTATAAATGGCCTAATAAATACTAAAAATGAGGGTATCTTAAAATTAAGACCAAGTGGGGAAAAACCCCCTCCTCATGGTATCTGCAATAGCTATAAACTGCTATTCTTTTTTATAGGCAATATTACCTGCAGAAGAGTTGCCGCTCATGATAAAGGGTCCGTTAGTGACACAAGCAGAGAAAAGCTCGTCAGATCCCCGCTGGAAAAGAAGAGACACCAGGTAAACAGACAGCATTCTTACTGAACTCTCTTCAGGTAGTCCTAGAGCAGAACAATTGAGATTAAGCTGTAGAGAAGCTGAACAGAAGTGTAAGTGAAAATATGTTGACAGTGGGCAGTGAACCTCACCTCCATAAATTAAATATAAGCAAGATCCAATTTAGTAATTGAGTAGCACTATGCAATATCTCTTTTCAGCTAAGCATCAGGAATCTTAGGAGTTGAAGCATTGCTGAATTGTCAGAAGTCACTAAAATGTAGTGTTGGGCATCCTGCTGTATCTAGCAAAACAGATTTCTGACTACTTGTATTGGACAAAATCTTCATTCTTTCAGGTTAAGCTAGAAGAAGTGTATCTGACCAGGAACAGCAAAACAAACAGGCCTGCTGGCATTCCTCAAAAGGACAGAGATTATTTTACTGTGGGTTAGCAGGAGTAAATAATTCTTAAGCACAGGTTAAGTTATCAGAAGCTGGCCAAAACTGTTAGTGTACAACTTGGCAACTAGGAATCAACGATGTGTATTTTCCAGGTACAAGCAGAAGATGCAACCTGAAGAAACAGAGACTGGAAAGAAATTAATCTCTTCCCCTCCCTACCCCAAAAAAGGTAGATCAGGAAAGTAAATCTACTAGGAAAAAAAAGTAGCTTTTAAATTTTAAATCAGAAATAGGTCCACATATAATAATTTTGATTCTAGTACAAATTGTCTGATCACTAGTGTATTGTCTTGTAGCCACAATCCCCAGAACATCAGCAACAGCTTTGAGGACACCAGCACCATAGAGTCCAGAGACAGTTCAGCATTCTGAGCAGAGGTACCCAAGTACAGGGGGCACAGGACCTCCAACACCATCTTCCTCCATTGCCTTCACTGGGAGCTGTTCTACATAAAGCCAACAAGGCTGCTTGCAGAACAAGCTAAGCAGCACAACATACTCCAACACCTTGATTTTTCTGTCTTACTGCAGCACTGGAGGGACAAAACATTATAAAGAAAATTCCAAAAACTGTTCCTATGAGATTCAGACTACCTAAACAAACTGGTATTGCAGAATTTTATTTATTCTAGGCTTTTTAGCAGCTTTAAGTGTAATTCCATCTATTCACAGAAAGTGTTTGATTTGCAGGAGCCTGGCACTTTTCCCCCATTCCTCGCAAAAAAAAAAAAAGCTAAACAGAAACCAACTAAACTAATTACTGTATAATGTATGTGCTCCAGCTCCTTACAGCATTCCCTATAAAGTCACCCAAATTACCTAAACTGTCCAAGAAACAAGACTACAAATTACTTCTTAGCACAATCTATACTTACATAGATAACACAGCTTAAAATCAGTATGTCTTATTTGCAGTTAAGTTACATATAAAGTCTCAAACCCCACTGCAAACTGCAAGCAAATGTAACAAAAATCTGAAACATAAGCACTTCCTCAGCACTTGCTACATTACTCTTACACAGAAATGCCACACTAAAAGTCTTTCATCAACAAAACAGAGCTCATCCCTACATTGGCTAACTTGCCCCCCTCTCGATGGAAACGTACCCTGCTCCACACCGTGGCCACCAGAAACTCTATCTTCCACCATGCCCTATATCTGGTGGCACCTGCAGAAAGAGTATCTGCAGGACAACAAAAGCTCTGCTCGCTTCCCCAGCAAACAGCCTGGAAAGTAGGTCACAGGAGCCCCAGACACTGAATTGCAGACAGGTTTGGGGTTTTTTTTTTCTTTCCCCCTCAAATCCTGAATTTCTTGTTTGACTACTCACTGCTAGCTCTTCAAAGACAGGCTCAAGGACTTTGATGTCCTGAATTAGGCCAGGATCCAAAACTGTGGCTCCTGTGCTGCTGCTGGTCACCTACAAGTGCTGACCGGGTCCACAGGGCTGCAGGCACCCAGCAAGGTCTCTTTCTAACAGGGTGCTGTAATTAGGAATAGGCCTTTTAACAGCTGTTCTAATTAGCACTTGGATTCGAGTACAGCAAGAGGCAAGCTAGTCTGGAAGGCTATTAGACAATGATCCCATCCTTTTGATGACTCAAATTAATGCATAATTCCAAGGCTACAAAAATCCAGCTGTTTACTCTCAAAACACTCCTGAACTGCTGCAGAGACCCCAGGCAGCTGCTGACAGGAACCCCCCCCCAGCAAGCCAAAGCCCCACCAGTGCAGACAAGAGTTTATTTGCCTCATGAAACGCCTCACTCCAGGCCCTGATGGGTCTTGAACTTTTCAAAAAATGTTCTTAAATAAGAACTTGTAAATTTCTGCCCACACAGATTTCCAGCACTCCCAGCACGGATTGGTGCACTGGTACAAGCACAATCCAGGAGAACAGGCCACATATTTGGCTCTCATGGAGGCAACATTAGGAAATTATAAAGTGGAAAAACAAACATTAATACTATTATGGAAAGAATTTAAATTCTCTGAATTTAACTTTCCTAATGGCTTGTTGAAAATAAACATTTTCTCTCATATTTGAAAATTTACTTGCAGGGCACTCTGACAAGGGCTGCTCCCTGCTGCTGGCTTCCACATGTCAGTGTTTCTTTACCGAAAGAGCCATTCCCAATCCACTCCCCTCTTATCTTGGAGACTGCCTACGCTGCCTGCTGTGACCAGAGCCAGGAGGCAGAGGGGAGTGATTGTTCCACATCAAAAGAAGCAGCAGTCAATTTGTAAGCTTCCCAGCTGGAAGTATATGCAAACTAAGAGGGAAGACTGCAGTACTTGGAAAACTACAATTATTCTAAAGTCCTTTCCCTATAGAAAGAATTTTACAGACAAAGTTTGTATTTTACAAACATAGTACAACACAGTGGTACCAAATTACTCCAGGCTCCCTTTAAAAGGATGGTTTTTAAGAACAAACGCGTGGACTCAGGCCCAGCTTCCTCCTCCCAGGAGAGCTGCATCGACTGAGACTTTTCAATGTTTGCTCTGTCTCTGTCACTGTTGGAGCTGATCTTGGACAACCACAAGAAATGTCTACTGATGTTTGATTTTTTTGGAATGACCCAAGCTGAGGCAAATTGAAAACAAGCTACATTAATCTGCACTGGGTATGGGAACTTCAGCAGTTTTTTTTTTCAGCAGGAGCCTGGACCTGTCTCCTGTTCTTAAGCTCACAGCAATTCCCATAATCTCTTTCCAGACTCCAGTGTCTTTTCTTTCTGTACAAGCCATGAATAAGCTTTAAAAGCGTTATAAATTCAAATGCTCCATCCCAATCAACCTAACTCAGAGCCAGAAGAACCAAAGAGAGCCTGGTTGTTTAAAATGGTTTAGAAAGCTACTCACCAACAACGTATCCATCAGGTATTCTGAATTATATCAAAAAAGCCAGTACAATAGCTAGTGATTGTGAAGTATTGCATTATTTTATTGAAGTTTAAAACTAGGCAGACCCAAGGAAGGGGAGGAGGTGAGCACACTGCTGTGTGGGTGCTTGGCTGCTCTCCAGCATCAACCCAGAACACTTCTCTTCTACCTTTTTTATTCTCCGACCACCATGGGGAGGGCCCAGCTGTGCAGCGCTTCGTCCGAGACTGTTCTTCAGATTCTGAAGTTCACATCCCTGCTCACAAGAGGCATTAATTTATGTTGACATTTCTGTTTTAGCTAAGTATTTTGCAGCTGGTATTTTTATTACTAGATTAACAGAAGCAACAGTGTGCTAGTGGTAACACAGCTCTGCAAAAAATTCTTTAGCAAATCTCCTCTTCCTGTTTATAGCAAACAAACACCATTTTTGGAGCTCCCCTGCCAACCCCCACCTGGACCAGGGTGAGGCTGTTTGTTTCTACCACCAGAATCACCAGTCAGCACAGACTATACCAGGTGACACTGCCTGGGAGTGTTTCTATGACAGCAGCCTCCTTTTGTCTGCAACACTCCTGGCTACAAAAGGTCTAGTGCTCAAGCTGCATTAATATAATAAAACACTATGCTTCGTGTAATCTCGCCATCAATACCTCTTTGGTTCCCTTTTCTGAAATAAGAGACAGGAAGTTGAATGTATCTATGTTTCACAGCTTAAAAAGAAACTGCTAATTTCTATGAAAACTATCAAAATAGTCTCATTTTCACTAGGATTTTACCTGAACTTCACCAGTTTGGAATGAAGCCAAACGACAAGAGATTGTCTCAGCTTCCATCAGCACACCAATACCACAGAAATTCTCAGCTGCCCTGTATAATCCTTCATCTACTTAAGAACCAGTCACCTATTTTCAATGGATTACAATAAACCAATTGCATTCTGCCTGTGCAAAAGGCTAGAAACAAATACAAACTAAATTACCATAAACATATGAATTTCAATAGAAATGGGTGGATTCCTTGGTTTGTTTCTAAGTTCAGATAAAATAACCCACCCAAAGTCTAATGGCTCTCCCTGGCCAGAGCTTGTGGGCACCATTCTTCTGCTCCACTTTTCCTACATTTGTAAAGAGATTTTTGGACCCAAGAAAAGACCACCATAATATTTTACACACAAATTGACACACAAATAATTGAGAAGCTCACACAAATCCTCTGCTCTGATAAGAGCAGCAAAAAAATATCTGGGAACACAAAGAATTGAGTGTCTCTGAAGTATGCTTCGAGGGCTCTGTATGAGTTCAGACTCAGAGGAATGGAAGAATGTACTTTGATACTTCAGTTCACAGCTCAAATCACTTTGTGAAGGAAAGAGTAAGAGAAATCCAGCCTGATGACATCACCATTCACACTCATGTTACATTCCAACATTTTCTGCTGAGGGATTCAAGAGCTAGGAATGGAACTAAATTTAAACTACTAGGAAGAAGGATGCCAGTTTCCCTTGCCTTTCACAGCAGACAGCCCTCTGCTGCACCCTATTAGACAATTTACAGTCTGATCAGAACCAACAGAAGAGATGGGGGCAAAATCATTTAGTTAAAATTGCTCACTGCACCCCTATATTATATCAAATTGAATCCAACCCAGCA